AGTAGTTGTAGTAGTGGTAGTGGTGGTGGTAGTAGTAGTAGTAGTGGTGGTGGTGGTGGTGGCAGTAGTGGTGGTAGTAGTAGTAGTAGTAGCATTAGTAGTAGTAGTAGTAGTAGTAGTAGTAGTATTGGTGGTGGTGGTGGTGGTGGTAGTTGTAGTAGCAGCAGCAGTAGCAGCAGTAGCAGCAGCAGTAGTCGTAGTGGTGGCGGTGGCGGTGGCGGTGGCGGTAGTGGTAGTGGTTGTAGTAGTAGTAGTCGTCGTCGTCGTCGTGGTAATCTGCGTGCTCTATCTGACTACAACCTCCCACCCCAATCGGAGGAGCAGCTCGAAAAGCCGAGACATGCATCACCCCCTGCAGTTTTTGAAATCCGCATGCCAGAAAGCTTTAACAACAGCCAAGCAACCAGCAACCCCTGGCAACGAGTAGGGCCAATTCTACTGTACCGCAAAAAGACCCTGAATCCGCAACAAAAACAACAATCCGAAATGCCCTAGGCCCGCCCCATCCCTGTAATCGCATGCAAAGCCACGTAGTAGTTGTAGCCTCGTGCTGGATTCATTGGCTTCAGGCACACAAGGTGTATATATTCACATATAGACACAAGGACCCAGCTGAAGATACTGCCGCTTCTGTTTACAGGGGCCTTAGGAAGCAGAATAAGGTTTTATAGTATACTATACGATAACTATTTTGGGAACCCTATTCCCAATACCATAATGAGTTCTTCTGGCCCCTATATGCATGCCGCTTCAGCCGCTTTGAACGAAGTGGCCTCATGTATGAGCCCAAACAAACACTTGGACTGGGGTTTTGGGGTGTACGGTAACACGACCCTTTTTAGGGACTGTAACAGGATCATCTGTCTGACTATTCAGGCCGCTGTATTCAGCAGCAGCCTAAGGGAGTCTCTGGATCCATGTACAAAACAGAAACGAAGTCCTTGCTCCATCTTTTCCAACTTTCAGCCAAGCTGGAGCTTGGAGGCCCCCTCCATACATTCAAAGACCATTCCGACGAAATGCCCCCAGAAACACCACAGAGCCCACGAAACAACACATCACAAACGCCCCACTAAAGACGCGATGACCAACTCGTTGACGAAAGCCCACCGGGCGAAAGCATGGGGGGCTTGGGCCCCGGCAATAGTACCTGAGAGGTGGGGGGCGAAGGGTCTCGATGGGTCCCGTGACTTAGCTCAGCTCTTAAACATTGGCCCTCGGCTGTGCCTTTCTTAAAAACGCCCGTGCAAGTCAAGCGGCTGCTGCAACTGACTATGAGTTCGAGCAGACACCACAGGTTGACATTACTTTCGTGCCTGCAAGCTCTACCTAGCTGCTTTCCAACTAGTAACTAGTACGGCAATTCGACCTTCGTTTTTGATGGGGGACGATAGCTGGAGAAGCAGGACTAACAAAAAAAACATGCTCACATCTACATCAACTCTATTGCAGCTTTGGGGGGGGGTATGTAGGGTCTAGCAAGGGATTTCATGCCAAATCTAGGCTTTAGGGAGACGCCCCAACTCAGTACCTCCGAACATTTCCCAGAGGTCGTCTTGGACAGGATGCACAATGAGGCCGCAGAGTGCCTGGAAACTCAAAGCGCAGCCTGACATCGCGAGAGCTTGGGATGGGGCTCTTGGGGTTGGCAGGGGGCCTTCAGGATCGGTTCAGGGTTTTGGATTCAGGGGTTTAGGGTTTAGGGTTCTTTTTTTTTTTTGAGGGCCTTTTTCCACCGAAGCAGTGAGCCCAGAACGGGCAGGCTGTCCACACTCCCTCGAAACTCCCTGGCAGCGAAATCGGTTCCAGAAAGTCCCACTACCCGCGTTCAGGGTTTAGGGTCTCGGGTTTGGGGCTTAGGGTTTAGGGTTTTGGGTTTAGGGTTTAGGGTGGTTTGGTGGCATGTTTTGGATTGCGGTTAAGGGTTTAAGGTTTAGGGTCTAAGGTTTACTGCATGTGGGGGGGGAACTTTTCAGAAAATCAGGGACACCTTATTGAGCCGTCAGACGCCGCAGGACACGGCATGTTGAAGACCTCGCACTGGCCGTATCATGCTGCCATCTAAGTTGCAAATTCTGCGGTATAGACGAACCGTAATAACCTCCGCAGTCCAGTTTAACCGATGAGAGGAATATCCATGACCGAACCGTGATAACGACTTGTGCCGTTGTGTTTAAAGTAGCATCCTAACATAAGCGCCAGTCTGTGTCGACGAAATCCCCTCATATTCGGGATCCTACTGGTACTACTTAGGGTCGATATTGGACCCCCTGTTGTCGGAAACTCCCATGTAGTCTCCTTCAGACTCTCCGTCCAGTGCTGCAGGTACGCCTCCACAGGATCCACCGCCACTACCATGCCCGAATGGTTGAAATATCGGAGCCACAATGACGCGGAGGACCAGTTCCTACGCGCTGCCGACACTCTAGACCCTAGGCTTTAGTGCGTGGGGTCGAAAACAGGGGCCTTTATAGCAGATCAAACCATGGCTTGGGGTTTTTTGATAGCAGAACTAACACAGGGACTAAGGGGATACTGTTACCAACTTCAGACCCCCGTATGAAGCGATCTCCAAGAGGATCTTCTGACCGGGCCACTGGAGGGGTCCAGCTGCCGGCTGCAAGCCAACTTCCACCAGGACACGCCTTTGGTCCAGGGCTGAGGGCGCAGGGTTTAGGGCTTAGGGGCAGCAGCGGGACCAAAGGAACTGTAATTCACAGGTGCCGGAATAAACCCAACACCCCTAAAGCCCTGAATCCGTAAACCCCTAGTCAACCCCGAACCCCTGCACCCCTAAAACCCCGACTTAAGGAACCCGAAGATTTGCTGAACCCTCGGAAAGCAGCGGGCAGTCGTCGCTGAGGACCTCTCGCAGCTGTTGAAAGAAGTGCTCCAGGGTCGCGGCGGCCCTTGCTGTGGGAAAGTAGCCTGACTTGGGCAAGACCATTGTAGCGGGAGTAGAAAAAGGGACCCTTGTGGCATCCTGGCCTAGTGGGCTTTCCTTGACCCCCAGTAGTTTCAATCCGCCCGGCTCCAGCTCATCATCGCGGAACCTGATTTCATGAAAGATCGGCATCGGCGACGGCTGTACTACTACAGGATGCCCTGCTCCTTACAAAGGAGGCCCACACTCAAGAAGCCAGACATGCCTGCGAAATCGCCGATGCTGCCCAGATGCGCCCGATTGTCACACGTTGGCCAGTCGTCTGCCTCGAAGCATACAGCAACGCTCGAGACAAGATCCTGGAGACTGGATATCCGAAGCTCCGGCACTCCCGAGGTTGGCAAGAAGCAGCGCCACCAGAGCCAACACCATCCTAGCTCAGCCCATGTTTGAAGGACGTCTTACGAGATGCAAGCTGAGGATCCGACGATCCAGCACATGTGCTGCAAGGAGCACACCATAAGAGCCGGGTACTGTGTCTACACTGTTTTGCATCTGTCTCCCTGTCTGCTCCCATACATCTGAGTGTCGTGCCCAAGTTGGGTGAAGCTTTCTGTATCTTGGTGTAGTATGCATCTCGTCGGTTTTGAGCCAGGCAGCTCTTCGGAATTTTCCAGCTGAACACATCATTGTAAAACTACAGGTACGAAAAGGGCTGCTGCATAGGGGCTTACGCCCTGGCCCGGCCTGCACGGATCGTAGACGGCCGGCCAGAAGTTTTTTGACTCCTGCATGCTTGGCCTGCAGCCACAGAAAGCAAAACAGCCCAGGACACCAAGCCCTGACAAGGCTCTAAGGTTCTAGGGTTTTGGGTTTAGGGTGGTGTCGGGTTTAGGGATGATACTTTTTTGTGATGCCTCCACCGCAGCGCACGCAGCTGCTGCGCGGCTCGACCACACGCCTGGCTTCGAAACTCCAGGGCACCCTTGGCCAAAGAAAGTTTGGCGGCTGGACTGGGAGCAGGATCCGTCTCCGCCGGCTGCACCTTTCGGGCTTTGGGTTTAGGGTTTCAGGGTTTAGGATTTTTCACAGATCACGTGGAACCCATGTGTGCAGTGAGCACAGAGGACAAAAAACCTCACGGCAATCGGAATTTGGCTGGCCCGCACAACGAACAACAACAGCTGCTTTGCCTCTCTTCCCGCTGCTTTTTGCAGAAAGCCGTCCTGTACTTAGCACATGTGGGGGCGCGGCTTTCAAAAATGGCTCGCACCACAATCTCCTCCCGCTTAGAAGTTTGGCGGAGCACACTTCTGAGCTGCTGCGACAATGAAGATTCCTCCAGAGCCCAGATGCAAAACTCGTACAACATCTGCAGGACAGATTGCCATCATGATGCCCAGGCCTCACAGCTGACACCTGCCCAGCACTGCTGAACTTAGGGCAGCGCCTGCACAACCCTCGTTTGGCCTCCATACCATGCGGGCACTTGTAGCGGGTCAAGCGAGAGGGACGGTACGGCCTGCGCGAGTCTGTTGGGAAGACTTTGCTGTATTTCTGATTCGCCGAAACCGCGCAGCACATGGAAAAGCAGCAACGGCATTTTCTTTGAAAGGACGAGGCACAATCACATTGGCACTCTCCACGTTTCTGGTGAAATATAAAAGCAGAACACATCTGCAAAAACTTCCGAAATGTACATCAACCTTTGCGTCCTCGCAAAGGCGTTGGTCTTTGTGCCACAGTCAAGGCCTGTGCAGAGATCTTCTACGAAGGCAATACCCTTGCTTACCGACCAAATTATTCCGACACTGTGAGAGCCCGGGGGGCCTGCATCAAGTCCTCGTCGCAGACTTGCAGATTAGACAGTGCCTGGGCCACAGAGCGAACTGGCACCGTCGAGCTGCGCAGCAGCCTGGGCAAGGTCGGAGGACTTCTACAGAAAGCGTGTCGCTGAATGCCCGAGTCCCTGACGCAGGCAGTAGACATTTCCTGCGCATGCTCCCTCGCTCTTGTGCTTGCAAGAATGCAGAGGCAAAGTAAGCAAAAATGCGCAGGCCCCAAGTTCCGACAGTGAAGGCAAAGAAGCAATCTATGTTCTCATCGCGCTTACAGGATCATGCTATGCATGAAACTTCCGTCGAAAAACATCAAGGAAGTTGAAGGAAGTTGGCGTTGACCAGAGAATGCTGGTAGTCGGTCTAGAAGATGCTGACTAGACAGGAAAGCCTTACTGACCCCAGCCTAGCCCTCTGCCACTTGCGGCTATCGGTCGCTTCATGCTTGCAGGTGCACTACTCTCCACTCGCGCCTGCTTATCCTTTGCGAAATGCCGGCAGCCTCGTGGCAGCGGACATCCTCAGCCAAGACTACCGATACACTTCTGGAGCTGCCATCCGGCAGCACGCAGCTGAGCTGCTCCAAAAGCGGTTACGAGCTTGGCCACAGCTTCAGGCGAAGGACACCTCACACTCTGCGAATGTCAAGACCTGGTATGATCTCGTGTTTTCTGCAGCCAACAGCCTGGTGGTGGCACCTTCTGAAAACTCGCGCTCCAAGCGTTGGGACCTTGTCTCTGCCAGTGCCATTCTCGACAGCTTTGCCAAGACTTGCCTGGACCTCTCAGGTCGAGGCAGTGCCACAAAGTAGCTCATGAATGCCTGCCGGCTGGTCGTCCCATCCTCCAGATGCACTAGGCTGCACGGGCTGCACTGGCGTCATGACTTCTGCCTACACCAAACTGGAAACGGCATTTTAAACAAAAAGTGCAGAAGCCTGCATTGTCTTGTACACCTCGGCGAGAGCAGCAGCCAAGTTTGCGGCCTCCAACCACGCAGGCGTGACTTACGAGATGTCTCTTTTGTGGCACTGAACAGAACATAGCAAGTCGTATCACCTGCTTTTGCGACTTAAGGCACAAGCCTCAGAGAGTGACAGATGGTTGAGTCCATCCACCCCGCGCTCGGCACTGAGAATCCACAGCTCCTGCGACACCTGCTGAAGGCGACAAAGGCTCACTTCGCTGCTGCATAAACTGCACAAACCCATCTTGGCAAGCCACGGAATTTACAGAGCCTCCTCTCGCAAGCGCGTACCTGCCAGCAACAGTGCTCACAGTTCCGCACATGTTCCTGAAGCATGAGACAAAGGTCACGCCGTCACAACGAGGTTTTGTGCTGAGACCCGCCCAACGTCTCCTGAGGACGACAGCACTCAGTGGCTAGTCTACATGCTTGCTCGCAACAGTCGCTGGAGACTTCACGACACATGGCGGTCACAGGCCTTTGAGCAAGTCCAGGAAACGTGAAGATACTGCGTGCAGCAAGCCCATGCCTGGTCATAAAGCTGTGGCAGGTCCGGGAGTGGCTGCATCGAAGAGACAGAGAGAGAGAGAGAGAGAGAGAGAGAGAGAGAGAGAGAGAGAGAGAGAGAGAGAGAGAGAGATGTGTGTGTGTGTATATATATATATAGAGTACTAAGTAGTGCACCCGATAAACCCAGTGTTTTCCTTGAGCCCACCATGGTGAACTGGAAGCTTTCGAGGTCCGAGTTGGGCTCAGCAGATGAGGTCAGGGTAGGTTTCCATTCAGGTCAAGGTTTGGGGCGTCAGGGCCCACGCCCTCGGCTATGGAAGGTGTGGGGGTCACCTTGTTCTAGGTAAAGACGCGTACGGCGAGGGGTAAGCTTGTGTGCATCCGAAAGGAAGCTAAAGCAACCCGAACCTAAACCCTAACACCTCAAATGCCCCTGCCTGGAACCGAAACTTTCTCATCAACCTGGCCATCCCTAGCCACACAAGGGCCAAAGCCGGCGAGCCTGAAGGTTGGCTTACTGCCGAAGCCTGGATCAAGGGTTGGGATACTATAAGGCTTGCTTTCAAGGTTTGCACAATTGTTTATAGGACTTAGTGACTTCGTGGCTTAGTGGGGTTTCTATGGGTCTTAGAGGGTTTTCTTCAGGGTGTTAATCGTCGTGTAGCACGAAAAGGGTTACTGTAACGGCTTCGTTCTGACACGGGCTTTTTGCAGGCGTCTCTACACAGCAGGGGCTTCGGTGTAAGAGTCACTGTTTAGGCTTTGGGCTTAGGGATGAAGGTCTCGGGCTGAGGCTTTAGGGTTTTTCGTTGGAGCTTGTCCTCCCTAAACCCTAAACCTTGCATTTGACTTGACTTGGCCTTGGTGGCCGCGAAGATGATGAGCGAAGCACTTTGGCCATCACAAGATTTTGCAAGTCGGCTCCTCGGCTGCCCCAGGCTGGGCCAAGGACCAAAAGGAAGTCCACTCTAAGTCGAGAGCGCACGGTCCCAGATCAGGGGAAGAAGGGAACTCTGCACAAGGCTGACGCGAACCTGGCACGTTCTCGCATGCCTTGTACCATCTTGCACCGACCACTAGCATCGCTGCAGATCGCTACACTGTCATCTGGCGAGAATTGGTGTCATCTTCTTCGAAAGTCAAGCCAGGGCAGCACGGCATAAGCATGTGCTATCATGGCAAGCCTTGCCCAAGCAAGTCGAGAGCAGTTGAGTGGAAGCAGAAGCCTTTGGATGCCACGAGCTGCTCAGCGCTAGGTTGCAGACTTTCGCATGTCGCACTCGGGCGAATGCAGGAGGGCCTCGGACCCAGGCATATCGCAGAGTTTCTGGGGCTTCCTTGCAGGGTGGAGAAGAAAGGCTCTGCACTGTGAGGACCTGGCCGGCAGGTTCTCTTGGCAAGCGACGAAATACGGCTCATGCCGAACCGATGCTGATGAGAATGCCTGGGTCAGTCATGTAAGACAGAGTAGCTATACGCAGCTAATCAGCGAACGTCCCCGGACCTTTACCAGGTAGTCATCAGGTGCATCGTCATCTACCGTTGAACTGTCGGAGTGCCCATGACTCAGGATTTCCCCCAGCACACAGCATTCAACAAACCTTGCTTTAAATTAGATTGCTGCTGCAGCTTTGCACGTCACTTCTTGCTTGGAAGGCTTTAGTTGGAGCAATGAGCCCATGGTGAGCGAAAGAAGCCTCGAAATCGGCTCGTGTGAGCTCAGCTGCAGCTACGTCCGACTGCAAGACTTGTGCTTTCGGTTGTACAGCGTCTGCAAGCCCGGAAAGCAGGAGCACCTTGCCCTCTAAGCCGACCGACATTCAAGGCAACGGAGGCTGTCCGCAGCTGCGTCTCTGCCTGAAACATCCAAGCGGAAAAGGCTTACTGACTGCACTAGATGCCCGCCTGGTCCCTCACCTCTCCTGGCTCCCTTGAACTGGACCTCAAAGCTCTTGCCAGTGTGATCTGAGGAACTTCGCATCTCCGGGGGAAGCACACGTTCAGTAGCTGGTATCCCAACCTCCAGGACATGCGGTCTTCGCCGTCTCTCGACATGTCTGGACGGTCTAGTTCCAGCCCCTGAATTCTCTCACTCTCTCACCCGGAACTCATCTGACAATACGCAGGCGAAAGAAAGGTAAGGGACCCTGTCAGTGAAGGTTCATGAAACATTAAACAGTTAACTCAGTAAACTTGACATAGCACCCGGCATAGCTACTTCGAAAGCCCTGAGACTGAGACTCTTTTGACTCCGGGTCAGGACATCCGGCATCCGCCTGCCACTTTTCTGGCCTGCTCAAGCTGGGTGAGAAGTTCCTCTCGGCGGGCCGCCAACTCGGCCCCTCGCTCCTCCAACTCGAGGCGTTGCGCCTCGACCACGGAGCTCTGATCCTGAAGGGCGAGAGCCTCACGCCGGAGGGCCTCCAGCTGCTCTTTGACGGTCCTCTCCGAGATGAGCTCGGAGAGAGACGTCTGCAGAGTCTCCAGGGATCTGATGTGCTGGTTGGAGACCTTCCCGACGGTGCTCTTCAGCGACTGGAAGCTGCTTTCGTCGACCTGGGCAGCCCGGGGCCGGGTGGAGCCCGAGGGGGCGGAGCCCGCGGCGGAGCCTCGGAGGGCTTCGGCAGCTGCACCCGTGCTGCCTGCGCTGCCCGCACTGAGGCCCAAGTCCGACAAGCCGTCCAAGGCCGAAGGCCTTTGCCGAGGACGACCCTTCGGCAAATCTCCAAGGTCCAGTTGAGTTTGTGGCTCTTCCGGATCGAGAATCGTCTCAGACTCTCCCAACTCTGGAGCGAACATCAGAGGGTCGTCCTGGAGCCAGGCTGCTGCATTCCTCCGCTCTCGCGTGTGCGCTCCCAGCTGTTCCAGCTCGGGAAGCGTCGTCTCCCGTTGGAGGCTCGAGCATGCAAGCAAGAACTCCTCCTCCCCGAAGAAATGGACTTCCTGAAAAGCCGTCATGAAGCGGCTGTGGAACACTTCAGATAGGACCTTTCCGACCGTGCTGGGATCATTCAGATACCTGCCGCAGCCGATCGCAGGCACGACGAGAGTGCGGGACCGGATGGCCATGGCTAGCTCGAGGCTGCACGCGATCTTCGCGAAGAGATGCCTTTGATACTCTTCGGCGGAGTCGGGGACATCGCAGGGCTCATCCAGATCCTGGTTGCAGTTGGGCATCGCCATGGTGATTATGGATGCCAAGACCAGGGGGCCCTCCAGGAATGGAAAGCCAGACTCCGGACCGGCCCGAAAGATCTCCACGTTGGGGCTAAGGACGGCCCCATACTCTGGGATGTGAACATCCCACGACTTGCCATTCACTCTCGCATGCCCCGAGGCCCTCACACCATGCTCTGCAGCCATTTTGCTGGCACGGCGGAGGGACATCTGCAAGGTAGATTGCATGCAGAGCATCTCTTCAAATTCAACGGCACCTCCTTCCGCGAAGTTCCCCCCGATCTTGTAGGGGCTGCCTGCATTTAGTACCGTCACGGAACGCTCCGCCGCCAGGCCAAGGAGGACCTCCGTCAAGGAGCAGTCCTCGGCCTCGTGAAAGACAAACTCAGTTTCAAAGGTCTGTTCCTGCTGGGTCGTGCCGTCTACATTGAGCACCACATGAGTGCCTTCCAGCGTCTCTGGCAGATTCACCAAAGGCACGTCCGCTTCGTTGAAGGAGTATCTGCCAAGACGGCAGGCTGCTGCAGTGAGCCTGGCGGCTTCGAGCCGCAGGTCGCGGAGCTCCTCATCCTGCTGGGGATCTCCCGTATCAAACTCAATCCACTCGTAGCTGCCATCAATGGCTTCGAGGGCACCATCGTTACCAGAAAAGGCACGTCCGATAACAAAGACTTCGCTGACTTCCTCTTCCCCTGGAACCGTTCCTTTGGAACTCAGCTCACGAGCCATTCCATTGCAAGGCTTTATCAGCGGGAGATTCAACCACGATTTCGGTGTTCCGTGCTGTCTCTGAAGCTCGGTGTAAACTCTGGTTAGCTTGGTAGGTTTAGGTTGGACCCAAGCATTGGTGCTGCAGCCAGCCAGCAACCATGCATGTGCTTGCATTCTCTGCGCCGTAGACCTCCCTTCAAGTCAGTGCCTGTGGAATAACTCCACATGTCCGCTGCGCTCCACATCCGACAGCTTGGAGAAGGCCTCCAAAGATCAGAAAAACAAACCGTGAAATGCCGCCTCAACCCGAGAAGCTGGCATTGGCCAAGTTGGACAGCTCGCCAGCACCGAGCCTGCAACGGCACCAAGGACTGGGAGGACAGATGAAAGGAAAACTCAAACTCAAGCTCTTGCTAAGCTTTTGACTCGACAAGCGATGCACCATCCAAGAGTCTCTTCTCAATTTCCTGCGTGCTATGTGCAATTCAAGCGGAAAAGACCCGTCTGAGGCTGGTCCTGAAACAAGCCTTTGTCCGCTCGCTGCGGAATCTGCGCCTTCAGCCCAGCTACCAGCAAAGCGATTTGTTGTGCTGGGGGCGTCAAAGCCCCATGCGTAGGCATGCGCTACCAGGCATAGATCAGATGCTGATATTGCCGCTTCCGCTCCTGGATGAATGCATGGCTGAAAATCGCATGCTTACTGCTCGCGGCAAGCCTGCTTGCTGAGCCAGTAGACGCTGCCGAAGCCTGAGTGCAATCTATGCAATCCTGAACCGACACAGCTTTACACTCTGGTGCCCTCGCTCTTCGTCGGACAATCGTAACCGGTGATCACCGAAACAAACAATGCTCTCACGCCCCCGTTTCACATGTTGTCGACGCTGAGCTCTGATTTAATGATAGTTTGTAGATGGTTGCAGGGTGTGTGTTCTTTCGCCTTCCAGGATTTGGAATTGGTCGCAGTCAGAGATGTTCGTTCCTGTCAGGCCTGATGGGAGATGTACTTCTGCCGGCTTGGTCTAGCTGACGCACGTTTGTGGACAAGGGGGAGGGATCGCCGGTCAAGTCAATGTGCGACTGTTAGTCCGTGTGATTTTAACTTTGCCGCCGGAGGGGGGATCGCCACTGGAAAGGACATCAACAAAGATGCAGAACTGTTCCGCAATTCCCTTCACAACGAAACGGTCCACTTGGCTGTTGCCTGTTCGTTAGCAACCTGCAGTCGGCTTTCAGCTGAACAGAAAGGCAAGCACACGCAAACAGAGATGAACATGCTTGCACAGCTCTTAGTGTTGCCTGTAAGCGCAAGACTCCTTCTGCATCCCCAACAGCAGCTTCAACGCAGGGCCTTTCTTGACCGCACACCGGCTCAAAAAAGCAAAGGAGGCTGCAAGGACGGGACCGCATCCTCCAGTCGCCTGGATAAGACCTGGATCGCTGCAACCAGAGCTTCCATTACATGAAGCGACACAGGTACGGTATAAGTGGACATGACAGAAGTGGTGATGCTCAGGCAGATGCTGCCGCTGTGGTGCACCAATCGACACAGGACACGGCCTGAAAGTTCAGAAGAACCTGCGAGTGAACATCTACGAGTCCACAACACTTGAGACTGCAGGAGCCATCGCAATCAATAGAAAACCAAAAAAGAGCCCAAGCCACTCTGCAAAGCTCGAGTGCACAACTTGGCCAGGTCGTCCGCGGAGGCCTTGCCTCGCGCTGTTGAAATTTGCGAGCTCCCTCCCCCCCCCCCTCGACGCCCCATGTTTGACACGTCTATCCTTCTCGGGGCCGAGCCCAAGTTGAAGTTCTGGGCCGCGGCAAAGCTCGCAAGCAAAGCCTCGCAGCCGACGCTCCAGCGCAAGACCCAAGGAGCACGGCCAAGCCGCTAAGTCCAAGGCATACTCAGGAAAGGATGCCTGCAATGAGCTTCAAGTTCCCTCCTCCCCAGCTCTCCCACGAAATGCCGCGCCTTCTTCGCAGGACGGCCTCCTGGCCTCGCCTGCCATGTGCAACGTCAGAGTCGCCCAGGTGCTATGGAAACCGAGCGTTCTGAGCCTTCAGAGCGCCGGTCTGCCTCTTGGGGAAAGTTGCCAAAAGCATTCCAACAAGGTCGGGGCGTTCCCTCTCTTGAAGTCTTGGGCTCCCAGCATGCTTCTTCTCCGATGCTTCCGCCCACTTGTGGGAAGGGATGCCTGAGATCTCTGGGCTACGGCTAAGCGTCTATGGCGGCATCCCAGGGCATCCCTGGCCCTAGTCTGAGCGGGGGGACTGTGGCGACCGTCGCCAGCGTATTCGAAGCATGTCCGGGTGCAGCCCGAGGATATGCAGCTGAGGCAGAAAAGGGACTCCTTTAAGTCTTGTATGTAAGTCGTATATCACACTACATTATATCATACTATACAAAACTTTACTGCCATATTATATTACAGCAAAGCATACTTCCCTTACAGTAATACAAGGATCTACAGGGGGAGATCCCCTCAAGGCCTGGCATCGCAGCAAGCGAGGCCAAGATCCTCAGCAGCTCTGGAACCAGGGATGCGTCACGTCGGTAGTCCGCCTGTCAGATGAACCGTTGCTTCACTGGGCCTGCCAAGATCATAGCAGCGCCTTCATGAAGCAGAACAACACCAGACCAATATCGCTGGGAGTCAGCCGATGCCTTGGCCACCGAACTGAAACACTGACATGGAAGCACCGAGGCTGAAGAATGAAGCTTGGGCACGCACTGGTCTGTCTGCACGGCTTCCACGAAAGTGTCCCAGAGCATCGGATCCCAGCGTTTCTCCACACATGCCTCCAAGACTGGGAGAGGTCTGGGCAAGCTGTGATGCAACGCTGCTCTTCTCGTCAGTGTCAAAACTCCACCTTAAGCATTGTTCGGATCAAAGTCGTCGAATCATCCTGTCGATGTCGTCTCAGGATCTTCCCGATAGGGCCTCCCACGAAAACAAAAGCTGATCGGGAGCGCGACCTGCGACTCACTGAACCTGGGAGCCTCGAGCCGCACCAACAAGCTGACCTCTCTCTGCCTCACCTTGTGGCCCGCGACAAAGAAGGCCCGAAGCTCAGGGACGCATGCGCGATAAGCTTCGTCTGGGCTCACCACGTTCCTGGTAAGCATTCACGAGATCGAAGGGAACTTGGTCAAGGATCTCCAAATGCCGCAGCCTGCACAAAACTCAAAAGTCTACCTCGAGAGGCGGCGCCGCACCCCCCGGGCGGGGAGCCTTTCCCCGCGCGTGCGGGGCAGCTGCAAGAGGCCGACAGGAGCCTGAGCCTCCAAAAGGGGGAAATCCCAAACAGGGTGGAGGCCCACAAAATCAAAGAGAGAAGACGACAGCTCGGGGCGGGCCTGCCTGGGCTAACTCGGTTCGGGGATCTTTGGCCCCGGAGAAGCCGGAGATGCAAGAACCTCGCATCTTCGGCCCCGGTGAGTGAGACTGCCGATGCCGGACCACTGGAGTGGCGCGTGACGGATCAAAACATGTCCAGTGCAGCCCAAAATGGCCCAAACCAGACGTTGGGGCTAAGGCGGCTAAGGGTTAGGGCCGGTCCTTATACCCTCTTGGCCGGCGGCGCGTGCATCGTATCGCCCAAGCCTTGCAGCATGACACCTTCAGCTTACAGTATAGTTCACACGGCACAGTGCCCAGACACTCGAGGTCGCAGCGCTGCTTCTGACAACTATCCGCGACGTCAGGAACATCCGACCTGAGGGGAGACTGCAGAAGCATGACTTCGGCAAAGCGGCACCATGCAACCAAGGAGGCGGCATGGTGGCCGTAGCTGGATAGGCGGTTTCCAGTTCCGGCCATCGCAAGCGCACCCGTGTTGCGGACTCAAAGGTTCTTCTTGCAGGAGTACCAAGAAGATCATGCCCCTCTGCTTTTCTGATGTTGCCATCGTGGTGCTTGCTACAAGCCAGCTGTCATCAGACATGAGCAGAAGCTGTCCAGAAATATCTGGTGGGCAGAAACCAAACATCGGGCCGATTGAAGGCACTGCCTCTTCACAGGAACTCTTTCGACAGAACAAGGCGAGGATGGACCTGCTGGCAAAGTGGGCGAAGGCTTCTCAGTACTTTTCAACGACATCACGAGCCGCCCCGGCGCACACATCTGAATATTCTGGCCCATATCGAAAGCGTAGGTCCTGAAGGTCACGACACCGTGGAAATGAGAATCACAAACAAACAAATGAAATGCATAGGGTTTCGCCGGTCACCCCTCGACACATGAAAGCAAAACACTGTACTGCGGGCAACTATCTCGAGGTGTTCTGATGGCTAGACGAAACCAGAAGTTGTTCAAAGATCACTTGAAGTTTCAGGCAATTCGTGGGAAGGCTCCCGGAAGCAAACGCATTAACAAGAGAAGTCTTTGCACTACCGGCACAGCACGGCGTGTGCCGCTGCACGACACTGCCTCGAGGCTCCCGGTGTCGATGTCAGAATCAGACGTAAATCGGAGCTGAACCTGCAGCCACGCGGCTACGTCCCATCTCGCATGACCTCTTGAACTGACGGAAGAACCTGCATTCCCCCCATTCGCAGGCCGGGAGACGGATCTTCCACCTGAAGAACATCACCAAGGCAGATCTCAAAAAACTCTCTCCGTCAGGGGGCGGAACCTCTGCTTCGAAAGCTTGCAACGGCCTGCTACAAGACAACCATTTTCAATCAAAGGCCGGGGCTGCTGTGCACTGAGGCCGGATCGAAGCGATAATTTCTGCCAAACATGGGTCCAGCCTCAGGCACCGAACTGCAAAACACATCCCATGAATTGACAACACGCAGGTGAGCCCGTTGCACTCTGCCCATCACCCAGCCGCGAACGAGCAACACCTCGAAAAAATTGCCTTCCTTGCTTGCCACACAAATCTTTGCTGGCAACTGCCAGATGCCTGCTGATCAATTTCTGCTTCCTCGACAATGCAGTAATTGTGAGGATCACCTCCGTCAGGCCACCAATATGCGACAGCATCGAAAGTAACGCTGCGGTGGTCATGTTCTTCCACGCTTGCCTCGTGAAATCAAGCCGCGCTCATGGCCTAGCTCTTTCTGCTGACCCCGCGCAGATGCAGAAGCAGCAGCCAGTGATCTTGGCACCTCACGGGCTGTAAGATTTCGGTGGAAGGTGTCGGGTTCATCTATCGGGAACTTGCTTTTCATTCAGACCGAGCGCCGGGGCAAACTCTGAAAGCATTCTTTCAGAACGACATATGCGAGAGGAAACATAACCACTGATATTCACGCCGGACATTAACCAACTCAATTTACCAATGCTACAATGCTACAATTCCTCGCACGAGTGCTGGCGAATTGTCGGATAGGCTTGCCTTCATGTGAGAACACTGGCACTACAAGACATTCATGCGCAAATAACTGTATGCCTCGTCTTTTGCCATTCATGTGGCATCCACATATGAGCCTTTGCCTGGCCCAACATGAAACAGCTAGCGAGGGTGTAAGCTTTGTACAACAGATGGGGACGATGCAATGGGCGACCGTGCCGCTCAATGCGCCGCATGGCCGGCGTGTGCCGATGTACAGGCGAAGCAAAATTCGTCGAGGTTTCAGTCTTTGGCTTCGGCTACCCTTTCGTGAGTTCATTTGCCCCGGTTTTGGATTCCAGTGCAGGTCAATCTGGGGATAACCGATGTTGTCCATCTTGTCAAACGTTCTCTTCCTCAGTTGCATCTTCATGCTGAATATGTACAATTTACTTTCACTGTTGCATATTTGTCGTCACCATGTCAGAATCTCCGATAGCATATTCGACAATGTCCTTCTTTTCAATGTCATCAACCGCATAGTTCATGTCATTGTCCTTCGGCTTCGGCTCATTATCCTACCTTTGGTTAGTAGGGAATGGAAGAATGGGAACTATTATAAGTACCATTACTACCATTCTTCCATTCCCTACTAACCAAAGGTAAGTTATCTCCATCTTCAATCATCTTCAGCCTCATCAACGTCCTCGTCACGCGCAAAGCTGTTGTTTTCTTTTCACTACCCGCACCATACAGGCACAATATTGATTTTCAGACTTTCGTCATCAACTTATGTCATCTTATTCGAATGAATTCGCAGATTGATGAACCCGATTTTGGCGCCGCACGTCGCAGCACTCGCCCAATACACAGTACATAAGATTCTGGTTTATACGAATCTGATTGACCTATTTTACTCCAGAGCCCAGCCGAAGTTTGGATGCTGGGGTTCATCCCCACGGAGTTCCAATTCAGACTTCTACGTGGGGCTGCTTACCCAAGCGTAAGTCGGCAAAAGTTTGGACAACACAAAAAAATTTTCCAAGAACTTTAAAGCTTAAATGTCGCAAATCCTCGAAATGGAGAACACTTTTTCACGCCATGCACCCCAAGGAAAACACTACGGATTCCAGTCAATGCTCAATGCGTGTCAAAAGTCACACCCCTCCTAAGTGCAATGCATCCTGCCCTGCATTCATGTGACTTTGATCCATAGCACACAGTGCTTTCATCCATATCGGGTAGCACTGCCGCAGACGCGATATGCTCACGGCTCAAACCTCTTCACCTTCTAATGTAATACGACGAAGTCCAGACATCAAAAGTAGTGGAAACACTCGCTACGCTCAGAACAATGCACAGCACTTGAGAAACTTTGTTTTTTTTAACATTGCCGGCATTTGACAGTGCATTCGACTTCCGCTGAAGTTTGCATTCCGCAACATGGAAGCAGAAACATGATCAACCGTTGTCTAGCAGTCATCTCTGGCAGATCTTTCTGTATATCGCCGCTGTCCAGTCCAAGACGGAGTTAAAATCAAAACCTTGCGTGTGACGCGCCCAGCTCAAAGCTCTGTAGATTCTGTAGATCATAAGCAGCATGCAACAACGGTGATTCGCGTTGGCCTGTGCCGCCATCCGCTGCCATCAATCAAATATCTGAGCATCCTAAGCAAAGCAAACATGGCTGTTTTGCCGTCTGTCATCTTTCCGTGACCACTCCGTAGGCCATGCGAACAATCTGTTGCCGCATCTGCTTCGCGAGAGCTCGCACAAAATCACAGAACAGCCATGTCATCGATTGTCTTTTCAAAAGTCAATCAGCACAACCATGTAGATGCATAAGACAGACAAAAAATTTAAGTTCAACATGATGGAGGATGACAGAAAGAGAGCATACCCCGCAGGGGCGGGTTGGGGGTTGGGGTTGAACCCAGGTTGTAACCCCAGGGGCCGGGTCCAAGGCGGGGGGGGTCCAACAACCTGAACCTGAGGTT